TGAAAATCTTATCAATACCCATCCCTAGGACAAACAGTCATTATGGGGACAAAGTGAGTCTGAAGACTTTTCTGAGACTCAAAATGTGGTTTTAGTGTCAGGGTTACAATTAGGATAAGGTTAGGTTTACGGTACGGGTTAGGGAAAGCATTATGTCAATGGGATGTCCCCACGAAGATCATAAACCAGACGTGTGTGTGTGTGTGTGTTTTCAGACGGCGCTTCACTGGGCAGCCAGGCACGGCCGTGAGGACGCCGTGGACATGATGCTTCACTCTGGAGCCGATGTCAACGTCAGATCAGTGAGTGTGTGTTTGGTGTGTGTGCAGCGCTCAGGACTGATGTTGTTGTTGTTTATAAACAGCGCACGTGTACAGGAGAATCAGTGTCAGTCTGCCAATAATACATCAGCCTGAACCGCCAAAATAAAAGCCTCTGCTGCTCTCACGTATCCGCGCCTCGCTGCAGCTGCTCTCTCCTTCCTGCCGAGCCTGCAGGGGCTTTATGACCATCCAGTTAAATCACTCGCGCCCTCCCTTCACCTCCAGGTTATGTGGACGCCCCACGAGGCCTTTCCCCTCCAATTACTGCGTCGTGTGTGAAGTTCAGAGCGTTAACCTGCTGAGTGGCAAACAGGCTGGCGTTTTTCAGCCGTCACCCTCCTCCTGCTCCTGCTGCAGCTCACCGAGGAAAACTCGCTCTTTAATTTGGTTTAATTTAAGCCCTAAGGTCAGTTTTTACAGCAGTTTTTAAGAGTTTTATTCATCTCAAAACACCAGTCGCAGATTTGAAAAGTGATTCTTCAATAAGAAAACAAATCTGCAGATCTGCTAAAACAACACAGACGTAGATGATGATAACCTCCTGACACCTGAGCTGCTGCTCAGCTATAAAAACAGGAAGTCCTTACTTCATAGCCTAAATGTAATCTGCACTGACAGCCTGTGGGAATCACTCGACTCAGTTTTAACCGTCACCTTGACGTGCTTTATATTACAAGGTAAAGACCCGACAATAATACAGAAAACCACCAATCACATGACCCCCTGCGAGCAAGCACTTGGTGACAGCGGGAAGGAAAAACTCCCTTTAACAGGAAGAAACCGCGGG